TGTGCCTTCTTACTAGAGTCTAATGTTGTATCTATTTGCTTTGCGTAGCATTTAAATTGTGAACATAATGTCTCTTAATAAAAGGTTTTTAAATTTAAATGCTAAAGGAGGAGTAATGGAGGGACTCACGATTGTCCTTTCATACTGGTAAAGGTTTCTATCCTGTTATGGATCTCTTCTCTTGAATTGATTTTTTTATTTAGCAATGAATTAAAAGCTTTGACAGAAGTTCGACCTTCAAAAAAACAGCTTGATGAATAATCTCTGCAGGGAGATGGGCTAATAATTAAGTCGCATAACCGCAGTTTTTCAAGTTAGTTACAAACATAAAACACTACAGTTTTGGGTAGTTGTGGCTCTTTAGTTGGTAATCAGCGATGAATTCATTTTTTTCTTTACGCGTTATAATTTTAACAGAAACAGTAAAATATGACTTCTACAGTTAGCTGTAAAGGGTAAAGCGGAATTTCTGAAGGAACCAATGGTAAGAACAAATATTTTAAGTAGGAATTGGGAAGAATGCAAAATATACAATATATAGCGGACAAAATCCAAATATAGAAGGTAAACGAAGCAAAAGAATACAAGATTTTATTTCTTCTTACAAATAATTAAGTTACTAGAGAACATTCTTTTCCTGTTTTTTTTAGTGCTTCTAAAATTACATCGGATGAAAGATTCGTTGTTACAACAATCCGTTTTCTGGGTATGTCAGCGTTCACTTCAGAAACGTTATCTGCAAATTGGAACTGGCTTTAGCAGATTTTTTTTTTAAGCAAAAGGAAGCTAGTACTAGGAGGAAGGGGGTTACAGAAAATAGAATAAGAATAGAACTATGATTTTACACAAAATAGTACTTTTAACTATCGTTGAACTTTAAAGCTAATACAATCCAGTAGTTATTTTAGTTGTTCAGCTCACGAATGATCACTTCAAGAGTAAAATAGTGGAATTATAATTACCTCCAAATTTTGATAAAACTTTTTTAGCAGCATTTGCACAGCCTTCACATGTCATTGCATAATTAAATGTAAATACCTAAAAAAAATTTATTTTGTCTTTTATTATGACTGTAAAACAGATTCAAAAAAATTATGTCCATTCAGTAACAATGCAGAAAAAAAAAAAAAGCAAAATATGTTGAAAATTAAATGTCAAAACTTGCGTTGGACATAGTTGGACAGGATGAGATCGGCTGAGTACCAAAAAAAAAATTTTTTTTTCGTATAAACAACTGAAATCAATTTACATTTTAGACGACCTCTTCGTAAATCTTTAAGAAACCCGCTGCAATCGTTTAGATCACGGTCAGAAACATAATAATGGGGAGAAAAACGCAAATCTAGGCACAAAAATAGAAACAAAAGCATGAAGATGAATACTTTTGTATATCTGATATATCCGTCAACAAATAACATCAAGCTTGCAAATTAAAATTAACTTTTTCTTTCACATAAAAAAAATTTTTGTAACCTAACCTTCTTGAAATATACAATTACTGTACATTTTTATACAAAGTTAAACGGCATAATTTTATCTTAACTACTGCTATCCAGAACTGAGAGGAGGTCAGAAGGAATAATGAGATATGGACATGTTGAAAACCACAGAAAATCTACAGCAAAAAACTGTATCCGAACTACCTGGCAATTTCAATGAAGAAATAATGCATTCTGAGAAGCAGTGATATTTTCTGACTCTGATTTTAAAATAACAATACCTGATACATTTAGAATCGGCTGGGCATCAAACAATAATTAAAGCGTATTGTGCGAACTACTTAGAACTTGAATATTCACAATTTTTGCTTTATATCTGTTTATTTATTGCTCAGTATAAAATAGAAGTGAAACAAAAAAGGGAAGAGAATTATATAGAAATCTCTTTCCGTGATTCATTGATTAACCAAACAAACATTTTTACATATCAAAGGCGTGCAAGAATTGGACACTAATTGCTCTTGAAATAGATACGACACTTTCATCATGGACCATTCTCTCCTATCCTCATTACAGCCTTCTACCCAGTTAATTTTTTACTGATACGATGACAGCTGACTTATTTATTTTATATTTAGAATGACGTTTAGAGATGGAGAGGCAGCTATAGGTGTTTTTTGTCTAAATCACCAATATTCTATGGCCTACGACAGGGTCCAAATTTGAAGTTGGTTAATTGACTGATTCAACTGCAAAGAAAAAGATATTTGACTAGCATAAGTGAATTAAACAAATAATGTTCAAGAATGGTTGATTCGTTTTTGGCAATACATTTTTACGCATCTTTAATCGTTGCTCTACCTTCTACGTATACGCTCAGCTACACTAACGATAATGGAATATATGCAGTAACGAAAAGAATGGCATAACACTAGTGATCGATTGGAAGGGCAACGTTGAAAAAAAAAATTTTTTTTTTGATTGCCCTATTTCTTGATCATTAGCTTCCGACAAATTCACTACAAATTTTATAAGGTTATCTGATAACCAAAATAATCTAAACCGAATCATAAAGACAGATCAATTGGTTTAATGGCATTAACAATTATCCTATGCTTGTCACCATCGTTTTAATGTTCTGGTTTCACAGCCTTCAAAAAAATACTCTTCCGTTTTCTTTTTTTTTTTTCTTTTTTCCTTGAAATGCTAACAGAAGTTCAGTTAAACTATTTTGCAGTTGATGTCACGTTAAAAACACGTTAGTCTCCAAAACTGTGGAAAAAGTTTCATCTATGATTATTGTCCAGAACTACCTCAATGAAAACCAAAGCTAAGTTACGGTGTCTCTTAAAGTGGCGAATAGACGCAGGAAGGTGCCAATTACTTACTGAAAGTTCCACTGGCTTCCTTATAGGCATAACAAAAAATGGTAGAGGAATGAGATCACTTTTTGCAGAGTAAGCGAAGAGGACTATGGTGTGTGAATTTTACAAAATTTTTCACTTTAGAGGTATTAAACTATCAACTTCCTTTGCTTAGCAGAAACAATAAATTTCCTTTTCACAAACTTCTAAATAAAGGTGGCAGAAAAAGGAAGGCATTTAAGAATTTAAAGACAAGTCAAGATCAAATGATGAAGAGATTCGTTTCGTCCACCATTTTCTTCTTATCAAAGACTGTCTCGGCTTGATCCAATTGTAAGACATGCATGACGTCAGACCTGTAATTCTAGAATAATCCGAACTGGAGCAAGTATCATGGGCTAATTAGGCAAGATTCTTCGGCTCGTAAGCACTGCTAAGTTTACTTCCTGTTCATTCGGCGAATACTCAAAATAACTGGTCTCTGGTATTCAGATGTTCGTCGAAAATCGCCCAAGTGAAAAAACATAACTGATTTCCCGCAACATTCCAGACTAAGTTTTAATTTGTTGTTTTGGTGGCGAGTCGGTAAATTATGGTATATATTGACCATTGAGTGCCGACATATATTTCAGCAGTTAGGAACGGTTTTATTTAGATGCATAATGATGCCCCAATATTGAATATATCTAATTAAACGTGAATGCATAATTATATTTCTCTCCAAGTCTATGGAACACAAAGTAAAGAGTTATAAACAATAAGAAACAAATTATAAAGAACCAGTTCACTAATAAATCAGAAAATATAAACAAAAAGCTTAAAACAAATTCTACAAACTACCAATGAGCATGATTTAGAAGTATAAAGAAATCGGTCTTGGGATTAACTAAAACCAAATGAAACTGAAAAGGAAACAATCCAACTGTTTCAAAACTTAATTTGGTCGAGAATTCTTCTAAGTAGGACGTCCTTTGCTTAAATACCCTCCACGATACTAGTGAGCAACTGTCTGCCCTTCGAAAGCTTCCCTTCGGGAACAGTTCAGTGTCCACTACAATGCTTTGGGGGTACCCTTCGCGCGCTATCGCGACAGGGATTTCTAATCTTGATGAAGTCGATGCGTACAATGACTAAACGTCGCTTAATATAGTGTTCAACATCGACTTTTGTTCAGCAAAAGTACCCCGTTCAACAAATCGGATTCATTCACTAATGGACACTTTACTGCTACAATATCTGTTACTAGTGGTTGAATCTTTGAGGTTTACTTATTTTAGCATCTTCATAATCACCTGTTGGTATATCTTTCTGTACAAATAGCCAAACAGCAGTGCCGCCGGGTACTCAGCAACAGTACAGCAACTAACCACTATGCCAGCACCAAACGAATCTCCTCTATTGGCGGCAAAAGAAGTGTAGTATCATCATCGCCGTCGCTTGACACCAATGACAGTAGTGACATTATCAACCACAAAAGCCAAGCAGAGCCTTGGCTTGGATATTGTTGATCGTCTTTTGCATCAAGCAGCCACACGGGTACGATAACTTCTGCGTACACACACAGACACAGACACACAAGCGAACACACACATAGTGGTCGTAAATTATTGATTTTGTTTTGCCGGACCATACTGGATGGCGTCACATCTGTTCAGTAACAGTTTTGACATCGGCGGCATAACATAGACAGCGTTCCGTTGAGGGCGGAGAAGGGGGCTTCTCGATTTCTTCAAGTTGCTGGACATTATTACTCGGTGATCTTTTAGCTGCAAATCTACTCAGATGACGAAGCAATCGCTGTTTATTGACTGGAATCAGTCCACCTGTTTTTACAGTTTAGTTCGAACGAATCGTAAGCTTGTTTTCATCAACCGGTTACCATTTGTTACTGATCCGATGACCTTTAGATGACTTTTTTGATGGAACTTGAGTGATTTGTTCTCTTTTTTTTTTTTCCTAAAATTTACTCGTTACGTAGCGGCCGTTCATTTTTTCTGAAAATCGCTAAATTTACTGAGTTTATAAATGATGAGTAAGCACAGAAAAAAACTACAAAGACTTCAGGAAAAAAAACCTTCCCGTCAAAAACATTTGAAGTTTCTAAGATATGTACAACAAAATTTCCGAGAAGGAATCCCAGAAACTAGGGCTTTAGGGCATATTCTCCCAACTGACAAAAAACTGTTGCGCGCATACCCCATTTACAGAAGTACAGAAGTACCGCTAAAGGAATTAGTTGTGCTTTCATTACTTTTATTGTTTTTATTATCATTATTCGTCATTATTATTAGTGTCGTTATTACCATTATCTTATTAATATTATTACTATTTTATTATTATTATTATTATTATTATTATTATT